ATATGGATAACGAGAAACTAAGGAAGAAACATACTAGTAGAAAGTTAAGAAAAATAGGAGGGCCCGTCTCGATGTTGGGGTCCCCCAAAAAAATCAAAATTGCCCACGCACCAGATGCTAAGCACTGGGCGTGAGGTGGGGTGTTAAAGAATGACAAAAGTCCCACATCGGTGGTTAATGAGATGGGTGGACTCCTTATAAGGCTTGGACAATCCTCCTCCCTTTGAGCTAGCTTTTGGGGTGTGAGTTAGGCCTAAGACCTAATTTAACACTTGACTATCTAAAGAAATTCATAATTAGATATCTAGCAAAGGAATGGAAATAGGAGATTCAAGCAAAAGTAATGTCAATGTACAACAAAACATTGATGAAGCTCGAAGTGATAGCCATCTAAGAAGAGCTAGATGAATTTGAGAAAAACATTGATGGTTAGGGCTAGTGCCTCTCCAGTATTTATCTCTTCCAAGAAATATACAACCCAACCTGATATGGAAACCTTTTGGAAAAAAAAAATCAGCCTTTTAAAGATAAAGATACTTAATATTTTTGGGGGGATTTTTCACCTGGTATTAAATAGGAAAAACTACCTAATTACATAAACATTCCTACCATATTTATTAATTCTCCCTTCTACCATATTTATTAATTCTCCCTAAAGTTTGAAATAATTACATATTATCTCACTAATTAATAATTTTGTATCAGATTTCAAGTGAGATACACCTAGATGCATGTTTTTGCGACAAGATACACTGAAATAAGGAGAGAGACTAACGAGAATGGGAGGGAGGCGCAAGAGATATTTGTCTATGTATCCTAGATACATGTTAATAACAGTAGATACATGTATCTAGGATACTTGATACGCGAGTCAGATAGGAGAGTAGAGAACGAGATAGGAGGGAGGCCAATGAGATTTGTCTATATATCAAAATACATGTGAATCCACTTGAATATAGTGTATAGAAAAATTAGACCTTATTTGACCCCCTATATTCGAGATACATGTATCTGGATGCACCGATACATGTATCCGAAGTCCATAATCTGATAAGATTCATAATATTGCAAACTAGTATGTATCTAAGTAACTAGATGATAAACTATTAAAAATTTTGTAAGTTACCCTATTAAATACCTGTAGCAGGGCCTCCACGAATTCAAATTAGCATCATGTAAGGCCCATTAAATAAAAAGCACTTTCTATCCGGATCGATTCATTACTAAAGCTCGAACCTAACACCTCTGATTAAGGATGAAAGATCTTTTTCATACTATCACAATCCTTGGTGGTAGGTATGTGATGCTTAATTCATTCTACTTATAAAATTATGGATTCAGATAAACATATGTTTAAACATTATGAGTTCTTACAAAGATACGAGGTTTGGATGAAGACAGTGTTATGACGTGGATCCACCCCAGATTTATCTTACCATAATATTTTTTAGGAAGAATATAGATATATTAGTGTAAAACCAACTAAAAGTTCAATAAATGTTAGTTTAAATGGATGTCAATGTAGAACTGACTCCTTAGCACCCCTAATGTTCTACATACCTTAATGCTAGAATTAATCCAATAAGTTCATCATGTTCATGTGTTTGTCTCTTTTTATGTATACTTGAAAAAAATTAATTAAAAAGGCAAAAAAATTAATGAGGTTGAATAAAAGGCTTACCTCCTCTCTCAACCTTTGCATGTTTATCTTCAATTTTTCTATATTTCCTGCCCTCTCTTCTTCTCCAATGAGTGGACCATCACATTTTGAGCGCATATTATTTTCCATTGCCTCTTTCATTTCAATAATCTCACGACGGAATTTTTCATTTTCGTTTTGAAAATTCTGGTTGTCTGATCTCTCATTTTTTGTCTGAGGATATATATGAAAAAAATTAACCACACAAATATAAAGACAAATAAAATCAGATGTTATGAGTTTATTAAATGTATAAAGAGAATGCTATTAATAGTTCATAGGATAATATTATTTTTTGCTCCTAAAATTTAGATATTTTTTTATCTTGGTCCATTTGATATTTGACGAATCACATTTAAATTTCAATCTAATAGAAATGTGTATTTTAGTCCTTTTATGTAAGATGTATTTCGTAAGAACTACTTTCAAAATTCAAATATGAAGTAACAATACAAGCTTAACATAAACCTAGGTAATTAAGTGGTCGAAAATTTAATAATTATGCTAATTTTGTTAATATTCACATGAAAGGAATCAAAAGTGCACATTTCAGTTAATTGAAGGTATATATACTTAATAATAATTCAATGACCAACAGTGCTATTAATTCTTTTTTTATTAAAGTGTGTGAAAATTATTTTCTCCCTTCATCTTTGCCTAGAAGTTTAAATTCCTACTCTAATTTTGAACAACATACATTTTCTTCCTCATATATGTTTTGATAGATTAATACTACACAGGTGAAAAAATTTAGACCATAAAAATATATGTTTTGATAGATTAATAATACAGGTGAAAAAATTTAGACCATAAAAATATAATCCATCCAACGTGCTCAAATTTGGGCAAATTTGGTTAGACATATTTTCGTGGGGGATCGATTTAGTAAAACTCAAGGTAGCATGTTTAAAAGTTGGCTGATATAGACCAAAATATGTAGCTTAAATTGATTCAGAAGATAATTTGTTAAATATCCATTTTAAAAATAAAATAAAATTATTTGAGATGTTAAATATATTCGTAAATAAGAAAAATTATAGTTTTTTCGGTAATTACTCAAATAACAAGAAAATAAGCTAAGAATTGTTTTTTTTTGGTTACCGTAAGAAAATTGGGTTATGGTTCATTTTAAGCACAACTCAGCCCAAATAAACTATAACCAGCTCATTTATTTATTCAAACCATTTTGACTAGCCTGAACTTTATTCAAACCACCCATTTAATATTCTAAGATTTCTTTCATCCAACAAAGAATACAGAAAAGGAAAAGAATTAGTTCCTAGATGTAAACCCATATTTTCTTTAACTAAATTCTGAAAATCTAATAGAAAGACAAAATGATGACCATTTAGTAATTGCTTGCTAAGTTTTGGAACTTGTTAGAGAATTCATCTATTTCAAATAATTTAACATGATTCTAACATTGGTTTAAATGAGTTGCAGTTCAATCGAATTAGAGGTGGAATGAAAATATTTAAACTTGTTTCATAAAATCCATATATTTATGATGCAAAGGACTTACTTTCAGATCCTTTGATCAATTCAACAAGTCGAAAATAAATAATTGATTTAGGAAAGCTATACTGAAATTGAAAAGTAAAATAATCAATAATAGAAATAATTGTATACAGGGGAAAAATTAAAAAGATGAGGAAGTAAATGTACTAATTAATATTTAAGAAAGAATTTATTCTATTTAATTACACATCCGAAAAATTTAACTAAGTTTATGAAATCTATTTTGGGGCCCAACCCAAGAGATTCACTGGCCTTGCCTTCGATTTGACCCTACTTTTAACTAATCTTTTTTTTTCCTCTAGATTTTTGCAAGATATAATGCAAAAAGAAATATTAGTTCATAATTGTGTGTAAATAACAATAATAATTCATCAATTAAGTATAATTAACTTTATAGTAAAAGGACTAAGCAATTACCTTTGTTTGAGTCCTTTTATTTTGAAACCAACCCTTGATCTGATCAGGGTCAAGCCCTACTTCAATAGCCAGTTGATTTCGCTGGTCCTCATCTGGAAATCGACATTTTTTGAAAAATCTACAATTCAAAATTCACAAAAAGATTTATTGTTATTGACCAAACAACTTTTAAAAATAAACTTATAAATTAAAATATATATTTTTATATATCATAAAAAATATGGTGAATTGGTAAGTATATCTCTATCATTAACTAGGCTCTCAAGTTCGAATTGCTGGAACGAAAGTCGTCCTTGGTAGATAACATTTTACCAGCAAAATGGGACTTAATTAACAATGTGAATTTGGATTAGTCATAAAGAGGGTATTAGATACTCATCTCGGAACTAAGGATTGGTCATTAATCATTTATCTTTAATTAGATGCCTCATGTTTGTGTTTTGGGACTTGAGTTGTCATCTTTGATCGGGAGCATTTTATCGACGTAAATCTGAATTGGTTGGGTCCTAAATAGAACTTTCCAATGTAGATTAGATGGGCCCTAAAGTAGAATTTTCTTAATGCAAATCTGAATTAGTGGATCCCTAAATTAAAACTTTTCAATGCAAATCTGAATTAGTTGAGTCCCAAAAATGTATCAAATACCACGAGAAAGTGAATGAATTTTTTTGGCTAAAAAAAACAAAAGGCGTTAAAATTAAAGAAACTCATCCCCTTATGCTAAATGTATTAATGAATTATCAAGAACAACCTAGTGCACATATACAATATTTATATACACGGTAGATCAATCATATCGTTAATGAATTTTAATTTTTTCACTCATATCTGTTAGGAAAATAACACCATATCTTTGTACAAACAAAATCAAAAAAATAATAATTCAACCTACATGGAGGTTCAATTTTTTTTGTGAATAAAATTGATCTTACGCTTCAAGTTTTTGAGTTGCCTCCACAGAGTACCTCTGGCCCTGCCCTTTCCTTTTTGATCCTTTTTGGGATATTGATGATTCTCCAACTTGTTTTTTTCCGGAATCTGCCATTTTTTATTGCTAATTTTCTGTTCAATGATACAAAATAACAAAAAAGAACAAAAAAAACCAAGTCTTAATATGTTTGGTTTATTCTTTACCAATCAATTTATAAATGAAGCAACTAGAACAGAACAAAGAGAAAAGAGATATATAAGAGAGATTTTTACACACCTTTCGATTGAAAGAGACATGTTATAAGTTCATAGTAAGTGATCTATTTAAATAGTAGAAAATTAATTGACTTACCATGTGATAGACACACATAGAATCTGATATTGCAATAAAGTAAGAGAGGAATAATAGAGAATATAAAATGTGAACACAAAAATAATATCTGTGATCTATTTAATTTTCCTTCAACAAAATATTTGGTCTGTGATTAGTATCTATGGTTTGCTATTTAAATATTATTTATGAAAATTGCATCATACGTTAAATTTCATAAATGGATAAATAATTATAACCTCCCTCAAAGAACCAACATTGCGCTCCCTTGGAGCCAAATTAAGTAAAACTAAGACATTTAAATTTTTTTATAACTGAAAATTCACTTCTCTCACCTCTATTTCTACTCAAAATTAAATGACATGCAACTGGATGCGCACAAATCATAGTCAAGCAACCCACAACACTTCATATTACAAAACTCAATAGGATAAACACCCATCATAGTACAATTGTACTAAACTTGAACTCCAGATAGTCCAAGTCCAAGGCCTCAGACCCACAATCACAATAATTATTTAAAAAGCTGAAGAATCTCAATATAATCACGCAATCACATTAAAAGAAACCAACACGTCTAAATCTATGTTTCAACCACCTAAGAGAATTCTAAGGATCCTACAATGTCAAACCAAAGATAAAGCCAACCTAAACAAAAGTTTTATGGATAAAATTTTAGTCTAAAGTCCTGAAAATGGCCAAAAGAAGAGTAATGATCATACAAGCCTAATAATTCATCCGACATCCTTCCTAATGATCATGCAACTCATTTTATATAGAAACTAACTAAGCTAATTAAAAAAGGGAAGACCATAACCTATATTGAAGGTAAAGCACACTTAAACCTATAATCATATGTTTTTCCATTCTCAAGAGCCTCAGAATGCTTCCATGCTATAAAAAATTAGAATATACATGTCAACACGGGACTAACGATATCCATAACAATGTTATGAAATTTAGACAAAAAACGGATAAAAAATTGACCCTCAAATTTCTTCAATGAAATGGAAAACTAATTTCATCATTATGTTCCTCTCAACGTGAATATCACATGCCCCAAAGTTAGACGAAGAAGAAAATTAATTTAGACATCAAATGGTCCAAAATTAAACTTTAAGGAAAATATAAATCAATGGATTTTAGCTTGAAAATGGAATCAAATCGCTAAAATGAAGCTAAAATACGTAATCGAAAGCGATAAGGAAGAACTCTACCTTAAAATAAAGTAAAATGGTGTAGAATTGAGAAAATCCTATCAAGACCAAGCTCTAGCCCACTTTTTCACACTTATGAAAATTGAGATGATGAGAGAGATAGAACACCAGCGATGACCGCAAAAGCAGCAAAATGGTCACTAAAGAGACTCGGCCATGTTCGGAATCTTTTACTGTTTAGTGCCTTTTAACAATTTAGATTTAGTATTTGGTTAATAAAGTTCATATTGTTATGAGATTAATATCTATTAAGTTGTTTGGGTCATTAGAGTTTGTTGGACTCAGGAAACTTAGATTTAGCCTAAGTTAGTAGTGTAAGGCTACATATACACTAGTTTGTTTCAATAAAATCGATCGATCTTTCCTCTCATATTCTCTCTTTTGTAGTCTTTCCTTCATTCTCAACATTTTGTATCAGAGCCCTATTACAGGGTTAGAAGCAGCAATCTTCGAGGTATTTTTTTCACACCTCCAACATGACACCAGAGAGTTCCTTTGTCCAACCAGCAGTACCAATGTTTGATGGGTACTATGATCATTGGGCAATGCTCATGGAGAATTTTCTGCGTTCAAAGGAATATTGGGGCATTGTGGAGAATGGGATTCTTGCAGCAGCAGAAGCTATGATGGATTTCCAACGGAAGAACGTTGATGATCAGAAGTTGAAAGACTTGAAAGCAAAGAACTAACTGTTTTAGGCATTAGATCGTCCATTCCTAGAGACAATTCTAAAAAGAGTACATCAAAGGATATATGAGACTCTATGAAGTAGAAATATGAGGGTAATACACGAGTTAAGCGTGCACAATTGCAATCTCTTCGCAAAGAGTTTGAAACTCTTCACATGAAGGTTGGGGAAACAATAAATGAATATTCTGCTCGAACTCTCACCATAACTAATAAGTTAAAAGAAAATGGTGTGTGAAAGAGAGATACAAGAGTTGTGAAAAAGAACTTGAGATCCATGACTACCAAGTTTAATTATGTTGTATGTTCCATTGACCATTGATGAACTTCAAAGCAGCCTACTTGTGCATGAACAACGAATGATCCCTTTAATTGAGGATGAACAAGCCTTTAAAAATTCCCATAGAGAACTATATGGTGGAAGGGGTTGAAGCTTTGGAAGAGGAGGTCGTGGAAGGGGTAGGGGCAGATTTGACAAGGCTACAGTAGAGTGTTACCACTGTTGCAAACTTGGGCATTTTCAATGGGAATTTCCACAAAAGTAAAAATAGGCAAATTATGCAGAAACTCAAGAAGAGATGTTATTGATGGCGTATGTCAATCATGCTAACAAAGAGAATACATGGTATCTTGACTGAGGATGCAACAATCATATGTGCGGAAATAGGGAATACTTATTCGATTTTGATGGAAGCTTTAAAAATTTGGTGAAGTTGGGTAACAATTTAAGCTTGAGTGTAGTAGGAAAGGGAAATATAAGGCTTCAGGTGAAGGAAACAACACAGGTCATCACAAGTATGTTTTATGTACCAGATTTAAAAATTAATTTGCTGAGTATTGGATAATTATAGAAAAAAGGGCTTGCCAAAGGTTTAATTATGAAGACAACAATGGCTTCAAATCAGATGTTTGTTGTGCATCTTATATCTCTGCCCATATCATCTGCTTGTTTCAATACCATCACATAAGACATGATCCAGCTTTGGCATTGCCAATATGGACACTTAAGCTTTAAAGGCCTAAAGATTCTTCAGCAAAAAGGGATGGTGCACGGTTTGCCTCAACTCGAATCTTCTTTGAAGCTATGCAAAGACTGTTTGGTGGGAAAGCAACAACGTGATCCATTTCCAAAGAAGAGTAATTGGAGAGCTTCATTGATACTACAGCTAATACATGCTGATATTTGTGGTCCAATCAAGACCATCTCTAACAGAAAAAAAAGTATTTGCTTAATTTCATTGACGACTTTAGCAAAAAATTATGAATTTATTTTTTGGCTGAAAAGTCTAAAGCCTTTGCTATGTTCAAAAGGTTTAAGACCCATGTTGAAAAAGAGACAAATTCTTTCATTAGGGGTTTTTGTACAGAACGGGGATGAGAATTTACATCACATGAATTATCTAATTTTTGTGGTGAGAATGGAATAAAAATACAATTGACAGCTGCTTGCACGTCGCAATAAAATGGAGTTGCGGAGCGGAATAATAAAACCATTATGAATATGACTCGTAGCATGCTCTCAAAGAAGAAAGTTACCAAGACTTTCTTGCCCGAAGCAGTAAATTGGACAGTCCATGTCTTGAACCGGAGCCCCACATTGGCAGTAAAAGGAAAGACACTAGAGGAAGCATGGAGTGGAGTTAAACCCTCAGTTGAGTACTTTAGAGTTTTTGGCTGCATTGCTCATGTTCATGTGTCTAATCATACTAGATCAAAGTTAGATAATAAGAGTGTATGTGTGTTGTATTTTGTTGGGAATCAGTGAGGAATCAAAAGCTTATAGACTTTACGATCCAATTTCACAAAGGATCATTATAAGCAGGGATGTTGTGTTTGAAAAAGATCAAAGCTGGGATTGGGATAAAAGTCATAAAGAAACATTTGTGTACGATTTGGAATGGAATAAAGGTGGAAATGAAGCAGTTTCTGTAGCTGTAATACAAGAAGATAATGAATCTAGTTACAAAGAAACAAAGGGTAATTTCCCTTCTGATCCTCTGCCTGCAGACCGTCAATCTTCTGTTGTGTCACATGGGAGAATTAGGACACAACCAATTTGTATGCGAGACTATGAAACAAGTGAAGGCATCCCTGAAGAAGAAAATGATATGGTTATGTTTACAGAAATTAGTACAGATCCTATTTACTTTGAAGATGCGGTTAGAAATGAGAAGTGGAGAAATGACATGGATGTAGAAATAGAAACAATAGAAAGAAATGACACTTGGGAATTGATGGATTTGCCTGAAGGAGGAAAAAATATTGGAGTTAAATGGGTTTATATGACTAAATTTGACGAAAATGGAGTAGTAAATAAATATAAGGCTAGGCTTGTAGTGAAGGGGTATGCCCAACAACATGGGATTAACTACACAGAAATATTTGCACATGTGGTATGTATGGAGACAATTCGATTGGTGATTGCACTTGCAGCACTGAGAGGATGGTCTTTGTACCAGCTAGATGTCAAGTCTGCATTTTTACATGGGGAGCTACATGAAAATGTTTTTGTGGAACAACCTTGTGGTTATGTGCAGAAGGGGAATGAGCAGAAGGTGTATAAGCTAAAGAAGACACTTTACAGGCTTAAGCAAGCGCCGCGAGATTGGTACAGTCGCATAGAGGCCTACTTCATGAAGCAAGGTTTTGACAACTGTGACTATGAGCATACATTGTTCATCAAGACAGAGATAAATGGCAATATATTAAGTGTAAGTTTATATGTTGATGACCTCATTTTTACTGGCAATGATAAATTATTATTTGCAGAATTTAATAGTTTCATGAAGGATGAATTTGACATGACAGACCTTGGAAAGATGAGATATTTTCTTTGTCTGGAGATTTCTCAAAGATCAGATGGAATATTTATCGGTCAGA